CACTGTTAATTATTGTATATCATTTTCTTTCCCCAGAAACAAAGACAATATGTGTGTGTGTGTGTAAATGTGTGTGTAAGTGTGTGTGTGACCTGACAGAAAGGCTTGATGTGACTATATCTTGGCAAGTCTGATTTACACTAAGCATGATATTTTTAGGCATAGTCTGATTTTCTACCTCCCATAACTAAGAAATTCAGAAATGCTTTTAATTTAGGCTATAAAAGCTTTTATTTTCTATGGAACAAATTTCCATATATTACCACTAAAGGAAATAGGAGAGAATGTGGAGGCATAGATATATTCAATATTTATGAAAGAGATGATACTTTGCTACATCCAATTTTTAGCACTGAATTTGAATATATAAACTTATATATATATATGTATATGTGTGTGTGTATACATGTACCTATATATGTCCAGCTCCAGATTAATATATTTATCTTCATCATCTTAATTGATAATCAGTTTCATTCCAAATGTAGGAAATCTTATCCTGAAAATGCTTCCATATTTCTAGAGGCTATAGTATTTTGAAACTATGACAAATATATTGGCAGGTAATGAACTGATAGATTGTTACTCCCAAACAAGTCAGCCTATGAAAATTGATCCTTACACCTATGTATCCTCTCAAAACGAGGAGAGGTTTCCAGACGTCTTGCCTGTTGTCCTGTAGACTCTAGATCGCTGGAACATTCTGGAAGGTCCATTATAGAACTTCTGCCTTCATGAGAACACTGTGAGTGGATCACACTTGGTCTGTGAGTTGGAATAAAAAATCCCACTGACAGGATTCATGTTCAAGAGTCAGAATTTGACAAATGAGTCTAAATATATTATTTGATTTAAAACAACAGCTCTAAAGTATCATTCCTTGATATGAAGTCAGCATGTGAGAACATGTGTTAAAGCAAAGCAAAAGGAAAAACTAAATATTATAGCACTTTGGGAAATACCTCATAAAATACCTTTAGACATTGGAAAAGAGGCTATCTTTTTCAAGACACATTAAAACAAATTTCTGCAGGGATGGACATTTTTTATGACAGCAAATTCTCCTTTAAAAGAAGTGTGCTGTACCACATTTCAAGTTAGCCTTTAACCTCCAAAGTCCCTTTCAACAGGAGCTTGCTTCATCCTCGGCAGCAGAAGCAATAGGGAAAGTGTCTCCTCCGCAGATACCCAAACACAGGTTTAAAGAACCTATCGCCTGAGTCCCTAAGGGCTCCTGGGTCAGGCCTTTTACTTCCTTCTCCTTTGATTTGAAGGAATAATTCTCAAAACCTCCCAATCCGCAGAAATCCAGGAGACCCCGGGTCACTTCTCTCTTTCCCAGTTCCCTCTGGGAAACAAAATTAAATCTTGGCATCTTGATCAGCAATCATCATTTTCGTTTACATTTTTTAACTACAGTACCCATTCTTGTATCACTGGCATTTTGCACCATTCCTTTAAGATGAAATTCAAACCATGAAAGACACTGACTTAGAAGCTATAAGGCCCTAGGGGACTGAAGTATTTATATTTTAGAAGTAAAGCAGGTCACATAAGTCAAATAAAATTTCTTACTAATAGAAAAAGAAACCAAGTCTCAAATCACTATTTGTTGCACAGAAACAGTTTCTTAACATGAGATAAAACCATAGAAAAAAGGATTAGAGAGAGAACTCAGATGTCCAAGAGGTTTTCTTTTTTTAGTTCATATTTACAGAAGTGGCATAGAATTTTGATTATTTTTAGGGAAATAACTGTTTTGTGTACCCTATAAAACCATCTTATTTTTATGGTACTACTCAATTCCCTAGCTATTCTGAGGAGGTAGGGAGGGAAAATACAGTGTGGTGATAAGGTGAGCAAAAGACAGTTATTCAATGAACAATGATGCTTGGAATACCACTTAAAAATGAATTTAATTTCTTTCTCATCATGTCTCTCATGGACATTCCATTTTAATACTACTCTTTAATGTTAGGTTGAACCGTGCATACTGTATCGGCCCGTTTCTGTTGCTTATAACACTGAAACTTGGTAATTTATAAGAAAATGAAATATATTGCTTACAATTTCATAGGCTAGGAAGTCCAAAGTCCAGGGAATATATTTGATGAGGGCCTTCTTTGGTGGTGGCTTTACAGCAATGCAGGGGTCTCACATGGCAGAAAATGGTGGAGCAGAGAGAGAGACTCTCATATGCTCTCCTTTTAAAGCCCTGAGAACCATGCCCCTGACCACCGTTCTTAATCCATTCAGTACTGCATGGTCCCACAGTCTAATCACCTCTTCAAAACCCTGCCTTTCAGTTCATAATAGGATTTCCCACCTACAACAGTTACAGTGGGAATTAAGCTTCTAATATATGAACTTTGGGGGGACACAATTCAACCAATCCACAGCACATACAGTGCTGATATTAAAGCAATTTTTACTTAAAAAATAGCAATATCTATTACTAGTGGCTCAGTTTAAATAGCTCAAATACTTTAAGAAACATGTGTGAAACCCCTTGGATTGAATTCTACAAATGTTCACTAAACACCCATCATGTGTCTGGCACCTTGCTCAGTATTGATGGACACAATAATAGCAGATGTCTTTGGCGTCATTTATTATGACTACTGTGCTTTTAAGAATCAATAACCAAGCTAATCATCTATGGTCAAAAATAAACCTTAATTCAGCCAGTAGTTGATTCCTCAGGTTAAAATATGCCTCTAGCTGGTTTTAACAGTCCTCAGTAAAATGAATCATTTAGGCATTTTCTTAGCACTGTGATACCTTCAGGGATGTAGTGTTTTTAACTTGCCATTTTCCATATAGGAAACTGAGCCATCACATAGATAAGAGGCTTGTGAAGCTTCGGATCTTTCGGCTGCCAGCCCCGGGCTCTATCTGTTGAGCTGTTCCTTTCTGCCCCTTCTCACCCAGGCCCTCCCGTGTGAATGAAGTGAAGTAGTCAGGGCCTTAGCTGGCCCCAGCAGCTGGGGCTGTGGGGAGAGGGCAGAGGCAGATTCTGCTAAAGGGTCTCCTGTAAGTTGTTGCTCAGTATTTTAGCCCTCCCTATGGCGTTACTTCCCCCATGCTCAGTAATTTTAGTTTGTGCTTTTTGTTTCTCTTTTTGTTTCTTTGGTTTGCTGGCTTTGTGTTCTTTTCTCTTTTTTTCCTTTTCTTTTCCTTTTTTAATGCAGGAATTGGTCAAGGTGTTCCAGTGGTGGCGCTCATTGTGGAAGGAGGTCCCAACGTGATCTCGATTGTTTTGGAGTACCTTCGAGACACCCCTCCCGTGCCGGTGGTTGTCTGTGATGGGAGTGGCCGGGCATCCGACATCCTGGCATTTGGGCATAAATATTCAGAAGAAGGCGGGTAGGTAATTGTTCAGGAGCCCACAGTAGACCATTGGGTGCACAAGTTGTGTTCAAAGCTTGGAAAAGAGGACATTAGTTGATTATATTTTCAGTAGCTCAACCAAGGCCTCACATCAGAACCAGCTATGAGCAAGTTGTCTAAAAGATGCCTGCCATGGGTGGGTGGTGAAGGAGAACAGAAGGATAAATTCTAAACATCCTGTGAAGTGGGACATTCCATGGGAGCTCTACTGGACCACACTGGTAGTAAAGAGCATGAGGGAAGACAGAAGGTCACAGGACGTGGCCTCCTTTCTCCTTATTTCTACTTCTCTTTTCTTCCTCCCAATAAGGAGAAACAAGAACTGGGCCTTATCATAGGAAGCACACCTAACTAGCACCATACGGTGCAGGTTAGTAACCTGAGGACAGCCGGGCTGAGCAGCTTCCAGGTGTGTCCTGCAAGCACCAGCATTGCCAGGCTGCTGTAAAAACATCTGATGGACTGTGCTCTCAGATTTCTCTAGACTGGCTCAGAAAGTAAAACCTTTGTAATGCTGCCACGTTGGTCCTTTGTAAACTCCTCTTGAACCCCCCATGCACTTTCCCTGGTCTATCAGCCCCTCAGTGCTCCTTTCAACAGTACAAGGCCCCGAACCCAGAGAGGACTCCCCTTCACAGCCCTCCCCTGCAGTCTGAACCCCCACTCAGTGAACAGTGAAATCCAGGCACTCTTGCAGATTATTAGATCAAAGTAACTCACCCCAAAATGTGAGTGAGTTTAAGAAAAACTCAGGGGAGACATTGAAGTTTAAATAAGAAATTTCCTAACTCGATCAGTTCTCCTAACACCTGAAATTAGTGGGAGAATGAAGCTCCAAAGGAGATGGGGTTTTTTTATTCATGCCTCTTATACAGTAAATGTGTACTAGGTGTCACACACTATGCCAAACTCTGAGATGTAAAAGAGAGAACAGACAATTGCCACCCTTAAGAAGCTGTAGCAAGTCTAGCAAGTAAACAAGCATATAATAATAATGATAAAAATGATAGGTGAGTTTTCCTAGTGCAGGACATTTCCTCCCCCACTTCTCTCTCACCCAGCCTGCCTAAAAATAAAGAGACTCAGCAGGGCAGCTCACTACTATCTCCTCTTCCCATCCCCTCCTTGTTTTTGCTAGTGGCCCAGCACTGCAGGTAGGCCATTAAGACAGGACACTTACAGGAACTTAAGTACATGAAATGAGGGATAATGAAAGGCTCGGAGCCTCCAGCATAATATTGCAAACCTTGCAGTGATCTTAGGCCAGGGTAATACTTTGATATTAAAAAACAAAACAAAAACAGCTAAACCCGAAGCTGGAGTTTGCTTACCAACACATTTAATTAAATTACTATTATCTTCTTTGATAGTAAATATTGGTGTATTTTACAGCTGAGGACCTAAAAAGAGAACATTTGCCCAAAGGCTTCCATGTCTACTACCAACCAGAGTTCAAGATCCTTAACTGTGCTTTGTTTTTAGTAAAAATTTAGCCATAGTTCTCATTTCTTTTAATATAGCAATTGGTCCTTTTTTAAGAAATAAACTAAAGAATTTATACAATTTTTAGCTCTGGCTTATCTCTTGCTTCCTAGGTGTTTGCAAATTACTTTACTGTATTCCTACAAAATAGATACACCTTTGCATTCAGAATGCACATTTCTTTTTTTTAGCAAACTAAGGAAAAAGTAAGCTGCTCACCTCAGCATTTCAGTCTTTCTAGGTCTATACGTAATGAAAGCCTGGCCTTAGTGCCTATTATTTATATTATTCTGTGTGTATACTTTAAAAATGTTAAAATCTTTGATAAGGCTGCCGTTCTTATTTCTGTTTTAATATGGAATAAAAGTTTATACTTTTTAGAGCTAGATGGGATGCTAGATTATTTAATGTATGGGACAGATACTCAGAGAAGTTAAGTGCTTTGACCAAGGCCACACAGCCCACCATCCCAGGCCAGGATTTTTTCTGGTACCTTATAAAAATTCACTGAAGTGTATTTTGTGGTATGTGCTTTAGTGTTTCTAATATAGTATTTCAACGACACTGTTTTTAAATATTTAAGTGCACTTAAATTGCCTTCGGCTTCCTCCTTCATTATAATTTTTCAATTTTTGTATTATTCTATGTTTTCCAAAAAGATAAAATCAATGCATTTCTGGTTGTAAACCAATATTCAAACTGATCAACCCTATGTCATGTGGATTCTTTTCCTTACCCTACCCAGATCATTATACCGCAAACCCAAAAGTAAGAGTCAAAAGTACCGTGCCCTTTTAACTTTAATTGACAGTTTTTAGTTCTAATTATTTTATGGTAAAATTTTTTTATAGTCAAAATATGCAAAAGCACAATCTATATGGGATCTGTGCAAACATGAACTGTGGCTGATTATCAAAAAATGTTAAGTCATGCATATAACTAATATGAAGATAAAGAATTAAGAAATAATTTTATGCCTTGAGATCTTTTAAATTAAAACTTTAAAATTTTTAAGAAACATTTAGAAATGATTAAGACAGAACCCCAAGGAGAAGCTTTGTATTTTATATATATACTCATGTGTGCTTATATATGCATGATAAAATTGTGTTCTTGTTCCGGGAAAGCAATTTTAAGTTTATCAAGATAAAATGAAGTCAGAATGTTTCTGTGTGACTATCTGAATAACTGCCAGAATTAATCATG